ATGATGCCGTTATTTTTACGTTTCAATTTGTGCTGTATATATTGATTAAACTACTGCTTATTTCCAGGAAATCATTCTCCTCCATAAGAAAGATTTTAGTAAATCATCGCAAAAATTTTAAAAAAAAATGTTGTCATCGATTGAATATATATTGGCCTGCTTTTTGGATTCCAAAACATGCTGCACTGTCATTAAATGAACACTTTTAAAAAAATACAAATTGAAATTCAAGAAATCAAATGTTATCTAAAATTGAATTTTCAATTTTTTTTGTTTTGTTATAGGTATGTACCCTTACCTCTCGAATTACGTGGTTGCCTGCTGCATCTCAATACTCGTAACCAATTCAGCTGTCTCTTTTGGTGAGTATTATGTATTGTATATGCAATCCAAACTGTATATCTCATGACGACTGAGGGCGTAGTCCCCTGATTGTAGATTGGAGCCGCTATATTAAACATACAACTGAAACTGGAACTTCTGTTTTAGTTTGCATTATTTCGGACTCAAACATAATAACATGTATATGATAATCTGGCTACCATCAATAATATTTGTGCTTTGATTATGGTTGAAAAATGATTTAAGAACTTCGCAAGACTCAGTTAAGGATGCGGAGCGAACCTAGATCTAGCATGTGGTCATTATCAACACGTCATCAACATCATCACCATCATCACCACCATCATCATCATCATCATTATCATCGTCGTCATCAAAATCCTCCACATCATCATCATCATCATTATCATCATTCATTATCATCATTCAAGATCATCCCCATCATCATTCATGATGATGATGATGATGATGATGATCATCATCATTCGTTATCATCATCATCATCACCACCACCACCACCACCACCACCACCACCACCACCATCATAGTCATCATCATCATCGTTCATTATAATCATGGGATGAACGCAGCCGAGATGGAGTTCACTCTTTGGCACCAATCGCTCTTTTCAATTATGACCTTAGGAATGTCTTCTAACTTAAGATTACGACGTTAAGGCATAGATACAGACATTGGGACGTTTACGGTCAATGACATCCTTGACATTGTGGGGGCTTCGGCATCTGTATGGGCAGAGCAGCCTCCAGCAGAGAACATCTCCTATTCCCAATAAGTACCCCTAAAAGATATTATGCCCCTGCCAGCAACTTTTGTCTCTTAAATACACATGAAAAGGTGCTATGAGATGTTTTACCATCTCACTTCTAAAATACGAAGTGACAGTTGCAGAAATATTTCTAAAATTCTTGGCTGGGTCGCAGGCTCGCATGAGGCGTATGCTTATGGATAGGTTAATAAGTGGTTATGACACATTGTTTTACTAATTTGTGGTAAGTTTACGACTAAAAGGACAGATTTCCCGTCATGATTTTCATATTAAACGAATACCAATGTCATCTTCGGTCTTCATTTTTATTTCTTTAAAGGTTACTTGCTGTCATCTTTGAGCGGGACTGTATCGATCGCTTTGGCCATCACTCCTCCGTTGCTACTACCCTTCATGCTGTTCGGTGGTCTCTTCATCAATCTCGCGTGAGTCTCTTTTGATTTCTTACAACCATGAGATGGATTTATCATAACGTTTCGCCTGCTCCGTTTTGCCCCCTCCCCCTCTCTCTCTCTCTCTTTCTCTCTTTCGACCCCTTTTCTCACGCCCCTGCGTCTCCGTCTCGATATATCTTATATTACTGATTCCCCCCTCTCCTTGTACCAAGATTTATATTCCACATTCTAAGAATCATTCTCTACGATTGGTAAAGAGTAAATCACGTGATGAAAGATAGTTCGCCCATCATTGATGGGAGAAGAAAAGTTCGTTACACTCTTTAGATAGTACTACTATCTACACAGTGCAACGCACTTTCACTGAAGATAGTAGTACTATCTCACCTTCATCGTTCTGCTTTCCCTTCACATGCCTCTCCTCCTGCCTCCAACCACTTTCACCTTCTTTCTCCTCCGTTGTTCCCTTTCTGTACAACTTTGGACATTTTGTCCACATAACCTATGATGTCTCCATAAAACAGTGTTTCATAAGCACTTTGCACCCGTGTTTATTCATTTTAACACACTTTTGCATAATTATATACAGTGATAAACATATAATATATGTTTTCTTAAATTTTGATTATAGTCACTTCAAGCAAAATTGATCCCTCCTTAACATCATAAGGGGAAAACAACATCAGTTTGTTTGGCATAATATGAGAAGAGAAACTGACAGGAAAAGTTAAGGGAAAGAGAAGCAGAGGGAGACAGCGCATCAAATACATCTACAAAGTCTATTTTATTTGGAACCTATACAAGCACTGCTTTTCAATAGGTTCCTCACATTTTACTTAATCTACCATATGAATTGAGTATCACTGAGACGTGCTCATACTACATGTATATATATAAATATAATTTCTATTTTATATGTCTGTCTATATGTTTTGTAAAATGTGGAACAAATAAACTTGAACCTTAAAACTTGAATTACATTGATAACTTAATTCGGTTGACTGGTAACAGAATTAAGTATTACAAGGAAACCGGAGTTATGAGTACTAGATGGAAAGCTTTGATCGTCAATGTCTGGAACAGACTAGGCACCTAGCAAGCAAGTAATCACTGATAATCATTCTAATGTGACTTTCTTTCTTCCACTAAGTTTAAAAAGCACGATCGCAAGTACTTCTGAAAAATCAACGCAAGGGCAATTGCAATATCCTATTTCAAATAGAAATTACATTTTTAACGTTCAAACATTTCAAATGATGACGTTCAAGGCTATTGGAATTGTCTGATGTTGATTTTCGAAAGTACGCCTACTTTATCTCTCATTATAAATTTTGTTTGTTCTTTTACAGCGACATTCCAGTCTACATCCGGTGGGTCTCACGCTTGTCTTGGTTCAGTTATTCCTACGAAGCATTTCTGATCAACCAGTGGGGGGATATAGATCATATCGGTAAGAACAAATTATTGACAAAATAATGTTAAGATGAGATTTTAACGAAAAATGAAGTTTGTTTATTTCCACATTTATTTTTTGATCGTACGATTGATTTTTGCGATCAAATGGATAGTGATCAATGCAATCACAACAATCAATCGTACAATTATTCGCTAGGCTTTGTGTTACGCGACCCTGGGCTCGGTTTCATAATAAGGATATATTGACTGCTTTGAGAGGCATAGTGGTTTCTATAGGGTCAAGGGAAACTCACAACCTGCTATGACCCCAAGGCGCTTGCGCCGCGGGGTCATAGCAGGTTGTGAGTTTCCCGAGACCCTATAGAAACCACTATGCCTCGAATATTAAAGCAGTCAATCTATATTTTATATACCGAAAAAAAGGAAAATGTTGACTCACCCATTTAGGTTTCCATCTCTTTGAAGTCATGAATATTAACACCAACAATAACTTAACGGTATTGCGCATCGGTCATCGCACAAAAGAAACTTATACGGTAACACGTAAACCAAAATGGGGATCACAGCAAAATGACGTCACGTTTCCCAGCCATGGAAAAAGTGCTATGAAAAATGGATATAAACCGGTAGAGCCGGGAAAAATGACTATGAATTTCAATTAGCGGGCATGGTTAAGAACATGACTGCATTTTCAACCAATCAGAAGACAGGATTAGTAAAGAATCTTAAAATGAGGTATATAAAACTTGTTATTGAGCTACGATAATTGTTATAAGCTACTGAAATCCTTGCATTTGATTGGCTGTGAGCAGATTTGTCATAGATCTGTGGCAGTTGTTACTGATGACAAGTTTCATGAAACAGGACTCTGGTATTTTTAAAGGCCCACTGCACTACTGGTAGCTACTTGCGCCCTCTATATAACAAACAATGCCTAATCGGTGACCATTGGTCCCCCATGATCCTCTTTTTCTTATGTTAACTGAGAGCTGAGTTGATGAGATAACCACCTGTCCAGTGACCTTGTAGAGCGGTTTAATCCCTCCTGTAAACTACGGTAGATAAGCTTTAAAGTGATATGTTATTTTTTAACTGGCCCGAACGTGTGGAGCAATATGAAACTGCAAAGAAAAAGCGGTATATCAATTACCTTTTGGATTATATTACTGTGTTCCCGGTATTTAAAGAAATAGTCCTGATACATACATTTCGAATTAACCATGGAGCTGCTCATCACTTTCGTTTCTTCTATGTTTCATTCTTGTAGCCTGTCCAGTTAACAGTACCATCCCATGTATATCAAACGGCAACCAAGTCCTGGAATCGTCTTCGTTTTCGAAGGTAAATTACAATAATTCATTATTCAGTCAATATTTGAAAACAACTTTTAATAAACATAGTTACCTGGACCATTGTCCCATTCCGAACTCAAGACAGGTTATAACATGTTTTTTAATTTTTATATACATGTATGACAATACCATATACACAATTTCACATTTATGTATTATACTTCGAAGTTTTGTTGCAGTTATGAGAATTGCATAATAATATAACTTTACATTAAATTTAGTAAATGTATATATCTTATCTGCACTACTTAACTAGAGAAATATGTGAATTAGACATTATTCAATTTAGAATCTTTCGACTGAATTACATTTGATTAATGATTAATAACAATGTGTTGAGGTGTTTTGGCGTAGAGGTTCATTCACTTTACTCTCAATGTAAAGGTTGAGGGTTCGAATACCAGCCCAGCACTGACTTTCTTTGGCAAGATATTAATCCACGTTTGCCACTCTATGTCCAGGTCTAGAAGTCCTGGAAATATGGGCATTAATTGCATTATAATTGCTGGGGTGTGCTTCGCAATCAATCGTTAACGCAATTTTCTCTAAATACGCTAAAATGTCGTGAAACTGTAAAACCATGACCTTTTTCTTTTCTTATAGAACGATTTTGCAATCGATTTCATCGGCCTGTTTGCCCTGATCATAGGGTATCGATTAGTGGCTTACATCGTGCTTCTGATCCGTTGCCGACGAAAAAAGTGAAAAGGAAAAACCTTTTGGGGGCCCACCCCCTGTATCAGGGCTACGCCATCACGCGTCGTCGATCCATGTCCTCTGGCAGCCCCTCTCTCCCATGAATTTATATGAAGAGTATTTAAATTGCTTCCGCCACTAATATATATTATTGTAAGCATCCGTATGTTATACGAATGAATATAATTGATTGTGACGGCAATCACATAAGAATACCGATGATAATGATTTTACAATGATATTTTACTCCAAATTTGTATTGAAATTTCAATTTTAATTAAGGGTTTATTAGATTATCAAAGGCTTAATTGTACAGGGTTTTACAATCAAAATACATTGACAATAGAAACTTTTATATCCTGCATCAACAATTTGTTGGCTTTTCATTGGTTGAGAGCTCGTCACATGAACAGAAATATTTGATCTATTTTTAGAAAGTACTATATGAGAGTACTATTTTGGTTTACTATTTGGGAGTTGGAAAAAAAATGTGAATTTTTTTTTTTGAATTGAATCAATTTTTTTTCTTCAAATCTTAATTTAATGAAAACAAAATATTTTAAATCTTTTTAAATAAAAATTGACATTTTTTTTGTTTTTTTGTTGTTTTTTTTTAAATAAATTTTTGATGCAGGATATAAAACAAATACCATGCCTTCTATTCGAGGTACTGGTTAAACTATGGGCCTCGGTGACCCCAAAAGTACCATTTGCTTCGGGGCTGCGCCCCTCAGCAAATAGTACTATTGGAGTCACCTCTTGCGCATAGTTTTAACCAGAACCTCTCAAGGCAGTGTATATTTGTATCATAATGATACATGTAAAATAGAATGTAATGAAATCATTGATGAAATCAAAAGTATAAATTACATATACAAATGTTATTTATTGCTTTATCACAAGAACTATACTTTTTGTATCTTATTAAGGTAAGGTTCTCCAAAATAGTCTTCAAGGAAATAATCGAGCAATACATGTTATGGTATAGTTGAACCTTTTCTTTGACTATCACGTAATAAATTATATATATATATATTCATATTGGTCAAAAGACACCTTCCGTTTTCCTTATTTCAAGAGATTTTTCAAGTGGTATAAGTATTTCTAGAATTCTGAATTATTTTGAGTTAGGTTACCGACCATTTCATGTTTTTAAACATCCTTCAATATTATTATTGATTTAATCAAAATTTTGATTTTATATCATTGATTATAATATATGTAATTTGGGAAATAAAACTGGAGAAAATTAAATTCCAATTGAATCGTTCTCCTTATTTGTTTGTGTGCTGTCTTTTCTTTTCAATCATAGAACGTGATAGTGACTTGGAATTAAATTGGACAAAAACAATGTTAACTAGGGGGCGATCGAGGATTTTCTAAAAGGGGAGGGGTGGGTGGGTTTGGCAAGGGATATTTGACTAGGTTGGATGAGATACCCGGGGTTAGGGAGCAGAGGGTACTCAATTAAAGGGATCGTTTAACAATGTTAAATCTGAGATACACGGCCCTACGTGTTATCAGTGTCTGTGATATGGTGTAATATTGAAGCCCTAAACAAAATTGCGCTTCAAAATGATCAAGAAGTGCCCCAATAAAGTAAAAATCTTTGAGTGACCGGTTTTACCATACTCGTTTTCCCCAGTAGACTGTAGTGTTATGAAAACCGTCAGGCGAACGGTTTTCAAAATTTGTAATTCCAATCATAAATATCTGGATAATCAGACAGGCGATCGGCTTGTAAAAGTCATGGGGTTCCTGACTGACCTAAAGGTTTATAATTATCATTGCATCATGAGCTAAATCCAGAATTTTGTTTCAGAATCTGAGACAAAGTTACCGGATCCCTTTAAAGCTCCGGGACACCAGATATTTGCTTCACGATCTTGATTGAAGTTTGAATCGACAGAAAACCCTGCAATCACAGGGAAAATACAAATGATAAATAGCATCATTCCAATGTATCACATTTAATTAACAGGTAATAAATGCGAAATGATACAGCTTCTATATTCATTTTTTACTAAACCATCCAGGTGTTAAATATCAAACACTTTATCATGATTCAGCATTACAATCTATATCAGATATGTATACATGTATTACATATATTTAAACAATAATTTCTGTAAAGAACTAGTCTTCACTGAATTAGATTCCTAAATTAAACATTTATATGACAAAGCTGACATCTTTAAACCAATTGTCCAAAGTACGATTTGGAAATAAATTGATAAATGTCTATACCCGAAGTCAAAAGGCTACTGGTGAAACCGACACGTCTAAAACCTACAGGAAACAAGGTCATCTTGACTGCAAATGCATTACACAGGTCAAGCTTAAAGAAATAAAGAACCATAACTACAAGTCCAATATTAATTTACCAGATTTTATCAGCTGAAACACAACGCAGAAATTACATAATTCCTACACTCGGCAAGTTATCACTTCTTATAAACATGTTTTGGTTTGACCAACATTTCTCCACTACTAACAGTCTACACTATGAATAACCGGATTTAAAATCCTAATAAAGTGATGGACATTACCCCCCAAAATGGAGGTGTGTGCGTTTTAGGATGACAGATAGACTTTACTTTCCCCAGACGAGCTGAAATTTCTTGTTTTTTTGTATTATTTATTTTGACGACAAATATTATTCAAACTGATTGTATTGTATTGTATTGTATTTATTTTCCGTCATTTAAAATATACATCAACATATATATATTTACAATAATAAAGACACACTTATAAAAAAGGAAGACGGAGGAATGGCCCTACTCAGCGTTGTTAGCATGACAATGCTGGTTTACAGAGGGGTCCCTATAGACATAGAAAACATGAAAATAGATAGTACAAAAGTAAGGAAAACTTACAGCAAAATAAGAACTTATAATAATGATAAGAGCAAATTCGAGTAAAACAAGAAACAGGAGAGAAATATTTACGATATATACAAGAGAAAAAGCTAGGCAAGTAAATTATTTAAAAAAAGATAACAAAACAAGATACAGGTACAAGAAGTCTGGAATAGTATTGTTTAAATACTTTTTGAATGTGTGAACAGTTTGAAGTAATTTAGTAATAGAAGGAAGAGTATTATATTGAATTGAGCTTCTATATTGGGTAGTTCTGCGACCAGGCGCGGATCCACGTAGCGATTTCTCCGGCCCGGCCCCCCAGCCCCCAAAACGGTAACAAAAATAGGATAATAACGTAAATTGAACCTTTTTTTTTCTTCACCCCCCTCAAAAAAAAAATAGTAGTTCTCCTCTCGAATCATCCCCCCCCCCCCCGCTTATTCACCGACCTGCTGAGTCGGCGCTAAATTTTTCCTCAAAATAAAAAAAAGTGCTCTTACCCCACCCCCCTCGCTTATTCACCGGCCCGGCCGGCTGAGTCGGCGCTAAATTTTTTTTTCAAGATTTGGGCCCCCCCCCCCTCCTGTCGCCGGCTGGATCCGCCCCTGTCTGCGACAATATTCAGTTCTAGGTTTAGGGAGATAATGCTGTGCGACAAAAAACATCTGTGTTAACAAAAAAATCCATCTACATCAATAAGTCCCAGACGGACATGCTGTCTGTGCTTTGATGGTATGTTGTTCTTGGGGGGGGGGGGGCGTTTCACAAAACTTGTCATCAATGACAAATTACTGTTTTTGTTATAATCTACTGAAATCCTTGCTTACAAGTACAAAGACTTCATGCATGGCTGATTGTCAAAGAAACGGAGTTAAGTCTTTTGTCGATTTTGCTTGTTGCTACAGCAGGCAGCCAGTGAAAACGCATTCGTTTGATAAAATTATGGAAATGCAAGCACTACTTTAAACAAACAGAACTTTGTTATTCCTAGCTCATTTTTTCTGAATGAGGTGTCGTATGAAAGGACAGAAACTCAGCTTTCTAGAAATGTGATTTTCTCTTTGAAATTCAGATACCGACCGCCAAATTACTTTTTGGTTTCCTCTCTTCAAAATCATTTTAATCACCCATGCGTGAAATATGCATCATATGAATTGCATCAAATGAAAGAAGAGGATCTAAGCTTTCCAAATATGTGTCATTTATCGATTATAAATGTGACTAAGTTACGATAAAACATCGATAATTCTCGGTTTCATTTTTTCTGGGACGCACTGTAGGGAACCACGGTATTTATACATTTAAAAGGAGTTGTATTAATACGTTAAAAAGAATTGTATTAATACGTTTAAAAGAATTGTATTAAGACGTTAAAAAGAATTGTATTAAGACGTTTAAAAGAATTGTATTAAGACGTTAAAAAGAATTGTATTAAGACGTTAAAAACAATTGTATTAAGACGTTAAAAAGAATTGTATTAAGACGTTAAAAAGAATTGTATTAAGACGTTAAAAAGAATTGTATTCAGACGTTAAAAAGAATTGTATTAATCTATTATCAATCGTCATCTTCACAGAGGCATCCATGTAGGAGGTCAAGCCACTGCAACCTTTCCTCAACTGAGAGAGTGCCATCCTTGCGTGGTACGTCATAGATGTCAGTGACCCCGAGCTTCTTCAGATCATCTTTTTTCTCCTCGATGGCTTTACTTTCTCCGATAACATTTGAAATGGCACAGAGAGGAAAGCGACCTATCCGATAATAAAACAATCACCGTGATTATACGTTTAGTTACAAACCGAGGATATGATAAATCTAATAGAAAAATGAAACATTTCAATGGATGATATATGATTATATTGTCATACATAGACTTGTTATGTAATATAGGCCTGTATAACAAGAGGAAAGAATTAAAGTGCAATTCACGAAGGAAGGAACTACATTTTTGAAAATGAACGGACGAAGGGCGAGTCAGAGTCCACGAATTCAACGTGATCGGAATTATTGATGTGTAATTTAGTATTGATGATATGACATGATAGGTAATTGATTTCAAGGTCATATTGCTTTTAGAAATGTGCATATAATATAAAATGAGTAATGGTTGTTCCTCGTTTTTTTCATGTCCTAGCCATAACTGATGAA